AATAAGACCGTCTTATGCATAAATAGGTGTATATTTTAAATTGTACATTTTTTTCTCAAAAACCAAACCGAAACCGTTTGAAACCGCACCGCACCGAACCGAACGGTTTGGTTTCATTTCGGTTTTGGCTTCAAAACCGCACCGCACCCCACCGCAAAATGTTTCGGTTTCGGTTGTGGTTTCATTCGAAACCGCACCAAACCGCACCGCGCCCACCCCTACTTGGAGTAAAACTCAAATTTTAGGTTCTACACTTACCCTAACTTGCTCCAACCCTCGGGGCAAATATGAGTTTTAACCCAAAACTCATTTATGGGGCAAATTTAGCCCAGGACTCCTCCCGAGTTAGTGGGGTTGGCTCATCATATATGTGTATTTTTCTTCTTTTTATATTATAAATTCATTGAATCCAACGGCTAAGATTTAATATGATCAAATCTAACGGTAAAAATAAAAGATCTATCGGTCCACATTTTAATCCAACGGCTAATGTAATTAAAAAAAATTCTTCTATGTGTTTCATATTCTTTCATAGTGTTTCACGAGTTTCATGGTATCGGTTATTATTTTCAATATTTGTCGAAATCTAATATGTTTAGGTTAAAATGTTCATAAAATTAAATTAGAATAGTCTACATAATTTTTTTTTTCTTTTAAAAAAGTTACTTTAAGAAGAAAAAAAATTAGCCTAAATTTATTCTTTAATAATATGGGACTAAAATTTTAACTCATAATGGATGGAGCAGAAAAACTATTTTTGAGTTCAAACCTAAATTTTTTAGGCTAAAAATTTTAGGTTTTAACCCAAGAGTTGGAGATGGTCTTAGAAAGCCAAACTATAATTTTGGCTCAAGCAATTTTAGCGAACTTTCACTTTAATCTCTATAATTTTGCTTGTTATGATATAAACACTAGTTGAATTGTAAAAAATTCAAATATTTGTTCTTAGACTCCAGGGTTCAAGAAAATTGTAGTTAACCATCATTGGATCTTGATTTGACGATAGGTTGTCATTTAACTTTTTTATTGTTCTTTCTTCTCCACCGTTAAATTAAGATTGAACGATAAGTGACAACGATTTTCTTGAACCCTGAAATCTAGGAAAACGCAAATTGTAAAAATAACTTGTGTTTGCACGTATGTCACCCCCTATAGGCACTCAAATTAAACACTTTTTTTAAGTGACAATCAATAAATTGTAACGGTTAAATTGTGACAATTGATCATACTACAAGATCAAAGTAAGACTTTAATCAAACTATACGAAAGGCTAAAATAACAAAAAACACTATAACAAATGGGCTCATGCTATGGTCCAAAATTCTTAGCCGTTAGCCATTATTTCTTAGCCAAAGATCCAACGACTAAAAATTTTGGATCATAGCATGACCCAATGACACATCCTAACGCATAATGTCCACTTAGACTCCGAATCGAGTTGTGCTGGCCGACACCCGAAGGGTGACGAAGCCATAAAGTGTAGTGATATGGAAAATGTGAATAAATTTTATACCTAAAAGTGCCTAAATATAAGAGTACGCTGGTGAGCAGGAATGAACCCATTTCACACGTGATGTCAAAGCATAAGTAAAGTACAGTAAAGTGGAATGAGAATTATACCATCGAAGGTAGCCACCTATAATATTTGCCAAGAATCCACGTCAACATGAAAGCTCAGCACTAAAACCTGGAGGGGCGAAAAACAAGGGTGAGTGGGCTTAAAAACAAAGCTTTGTAAAAACCTTTTCGAAAACATAATAACCCCTCACCGTAAAACAAGTATAGTTTCCAAAATATACATACTACGTATAGTAAGAAAATACTTACCGTAGCCTACAACATCTCAAGAATTCAATACGGTATAATATTTCGTAAGTAAGCACATGACGTCCGCAATCACATAATCTTGCATAAGCCAACATATCATATCGAGTGCTCATCGACACATGCTGACACACGAGTTCATGCAGAGTTATTCTGACATGAACATGACTAGATGTAACAATCACGTGAAGACTGGCGTTGTGCGCAACATATACGAGTTCTAATTGCCGATAACAATCTAGGACATGACTGGCACCTACAATGGATCCAAAGTGAATGTACAATGCGATATGCACATACATGTGAAAGACTGGTCCTGACCCGAACAAGTACTAACACCGATGCAGCAACCGATGAGCAGTTTAACAAAAACATAATCATGCCACAATGATTCGATAATTCTAGTCGACATAACATTATTCATAGTTGTAAGTTTAGCTAAGGCATCCCGTATGATTTATAATGATTTCCAAATTCTCGTTGTTACATCATTTTCTATAAATGTTAATTTAATTACGGCAGTCATATAGAAAATTCATTATTAGATGTATATATGGAAACTAAATAAATATATGTATATATCAAAGAAAAGACCCATTCACAGATCATGTCGTCGAGTCTAACCCGCCTCGTAGCATCAAGAGTCCTTGCGATGCGTTTTGCCTAGAAACGAAACCATTTAGGTAAATATAACGTACTAATGTAATTATGCGTTTTCGTACAAAGCACGGCTAATAAAGGAACTATCTTAAAACAGTCGAATTTCAAAAAACGGACGGCGAATTCATATTCGGCACGTTGAGAAACCTAAGGAAGGACCTCGGGTTCCTCTACGCGCCGATTTTGGTAGTCGAAAAGTTCACCGAAAAAGTCACCACGGCGGCGAAGCACAATACCTCCGGTGGATGCGCGTGTGCCCCATGTGTTGGCCATGACGCGCTCCCACGCGCCAGCCCAGGGAACTGAAATTGGGTCCGGGTTGAAATTGGGGCTGGGTTTTTGAGTTGGGCCTAGCCTAAATGGGTTAGATTGGGTTAATAGGCCAAAGGTTATTGGATCGGGCCCAGCAACTGGGTTGGGCCAGTTTTGGGTTGCAGATCATTGGCCTAACAACTGAGTTGGGCCGGTTTTCAATCATGGGTCGCCGGATTCCACGAAGGAGAAAGCCGGAGCTGGCTTGTTATCCAGAGCTCCAATCGAGCTCCATTCACAACTAGACTTCACCATTTAAGTGTCAAAATTAAAATAGGAGGATGGAGATTCGATTAATACCCTTTTAGTTCACAACTGTGGCCAGAAAATAGCTGGAAAAGCTTCGAGTCAGCCTGAAAATTTGGGAAGTTTTCCCTAGTTGCTTTTGCACTCAACCATCACAATAGACTTTCAAAACTACTTTAATCCTACACTAAAATGTGCTCCAAGAAAGTTTAGGTTGGTTTGAAGGCTCGCCTTCGTCAGGGAAAATTATTGAACAATAGCGGCGCCACTGCTTAGAGAGAGAGAGAAAGAGATATGTCAAGTTCCTAGGGCTTGGGTTTCACGACGTTGGGTCATACTATGGTGTGGTCATGCTCGTCGGAGCAACAATGGTGTGATGGTGGTGGTGGCGTGTGGTTCCCAGAGAAGGAAAGTGAGTCAGAGAGGAAGTGATAGAGAGAGCTGACAGAGAGAGAGAAGTGAGGTGAGGTGGCAGTTATCGGGTGGAAAGGTGAAATGAGAAAGGTTTGAAAAATGAGAGAGAGAGAGAGAGAGTCTGTGTGTGTGTGTCCCTAGAGATAGGGAGACACCGGAGAGGTGAAGGAATGGGGTGTGGGCCCCACATGTCTCACAAAACAAGCCACAAAATATCTCCCAATTGAAATTATCGAATCGCCCTTCACGTTCGTAAATTCGTAAAATCTCTATCGTAGCTCTAAATTCGATTCTGCTTATGCCTACACGTTCATATTGTCGAGTACTACAAGGATATGCTAAAAGAATATTTCGTACAGCTCACTATATGCTAGTCCACGATTGTCAACACCCTCGCCTCTAGGGGCATTTTCGTTAATTCTCTCATTTAAAATTAATAAAATTGTCAAATTAGGAACGGTTGTCACACCCAATCTATTCTAGAATAGCATTAGCCAAAAGAATAGCATGTGTTCTTGGTTGTTCGACTTCATGTTCATGTAAGTTGTAACTTCCCAAAAGTTCTTCCAATGTACCCAACCCAAGACACAGACACACACACACAGCAATCTAGTAACCTGGAATGAGACATGCACCATAATCCAGAGATTCCATCCAAATTACAAAGCCTGTAAATTGCAAAAGCTGTTAAAAGGAAACAAAACCCAGAGAAGGGGATCCACCCCAAAAGAAGCTTCCCAAAAAATAAAAAATAAAAAAAAACAAGTAATCTCTCTCTCTCTCTTCACGCTTGGGACTCATGAGTGGCCTTGGTCCACGACTCCCAAAGCAGTCCCTCCCTTTTTTATGAGGCACTCTTTCGTCCACTCCCTAGTTCCTAGTCTCCTCTTCTGCTCAAGTACGACTAAATGTCACTGTAGTTATAGAGTAACTCTAAATTTTGAAGGCTGAGCTTTTAAGCTTTTGCTTGCTGCCAACTCCCATGTGACTCAATTCTGGTACAGTACTTTGAAATGGCATCAAAGAAAAACTTTGTAGGACAGTTTCATTTACCAGTTAAGCACTCTACAATAAAAAAAAACGAATCTCGTTGTATTTGAGTTTACAATTATACCACTCAACGTAGGTCCAAACTTTGTATGTCAGTTTTAGCGGCTAAATGATCAAATACTCTTAAAAAGAACGAGGCTCATTGTATTTGAATGGTCTCCGATTCAATGTATGTACAATTTGTATTGCATACAAAGAACAGATACTATGTGAATGGTCAAATACTATTAAAAAGAATGAGGAATACTATCTAACTTAACGTAAATACAACTTTCATTGCATACAGAAAACATATACCACTGCATTTGGATACTATCCGACCCACGCTTGTTCAAAATTTACATCTAATTATTTTGAGATGCGGTGGGAGTATCTCAAACTAATATGTATTTTTTTATTTTATGTTTTATCTTTCTCAATAAAACATTTTGCAACTTGTCAGCAGTCAATGCTTTTCTCCTTTGCTTCTGCTTCTATAGTTTCTGCTGCTCACTTGGTCATTGTCTCATGAAAAAGTGTTTTATTACCATACCCAAATGGTGGGGGATATAGACAAAGCTCTTGTCCAAGATACCAAAAAGTAGTGATTCCACACAAGAGAGGCATCCCCATCCACATCCACCACAAAACCTCTCTCTTTCCATGGATCTCACAAGCCCCAGATGCTTTCAACCTCCATCTTTTATCTCATCCAGTGGGGTAAATATCCCACATTTGGATTTTTCTTTTACCTTCTGTTTTTACTTTTATGATCTTTACAATGGGTTTTAATTACTCTTAACTTGTTACCTCTTTTTTTTTTTTTTTTTTGCTGTTGTTTTTGGTATTTGTGATTCAGGAACCGCCATTGGAGAGCAACCCAAGCTTCTATGGAAAAACCACAAAGGACCCATTTGCAGACACATTTGCAGACCCTCTCTGCAAGCTGAACCTCAGGGAAACCTCTGAGTTTGTCAAGTCACTCCCAGTCCCAAGCAATGCCACATCAGCACAGAGGAGGGAGGGAGGAGTGAGCTCTATGACACAGAGGAGAGCAGCAGAAGCTCCTCCCAGTCCTGGAAGGCCAGTTTTCAGCTTCTCAGTTGGCAACTTTTCCAGAAAGAGCTTTCCTTCAAAGTGGGATGATGCTGAAAAGTGGCTCATAAGCACTTCCTGCCATGACTCTCCTGCTCACACCACCAAGCCGCAATCAGATTCCACAAAGATTTTTAATCCAAAACAATGTGTGGTTTTTTCTGAAAGATCAAGGGTCACAGAGGAAAAGGTCTCAAAGGTGGTCTCAAGCTTTCAAAGATGTGTTTCTTTGAACAATTATCAATCTACCAGAGCTTTCAATGGGGTCTCAACATCAGCTGATGTGCTTCTAAAAGGTTACATCTTTTATTTCAATTTTTGTGGAACCTTCTCACCTGTTGGCTTTTTGCATCACATGTCACTCTTTTTGTTCCACTTTCATCTTCCCCTACTTTTGTTTTTCCTTTTAAAATTTTGATAATATTTGGGTAGGGGGGAATTGAACTCGGGTGCATGGGCGAACGCTCTTAACCAATTGAGCTACAAGCCAATTCAAGTTAAAAGCTCAGATAGTAAACAATGTAGAATCTAGTTTTTACTTTTTCATTTATGTTGTTTACTGGGTATCTTTCAATTTTTGTAAAACACACAAGAATTGATCTCCTTAATCAATAAAGGGTTTTGCTAAGTATCTGTTTATGCAAAGAGAATTGGAGTCTTTAAATCGTCTAGCTGAAATAGTTACTGTTACATTGAAATTACTCAATTTTGATCATAACCAAATTTCTACGAAATTTGTTTTACAAAACTGAAATTTGGGTTTTGTTTTGTTTGTGCAGATAAGTTTGTCGATGACATAGAACCAATTTTACCCAATTCCAGGTGCTTAGAGCCAACTAAAGAAGGCTTTCTATTCAAAAACTCAGCCTGTGATGCCATGAAAGATGCAGGCAGCGGCACAGAAGAGGCTCATGATGTACACCATCGAGATGTCGGCACAGAGATGACTCCTCTTGGAAGCTCAACAACTTCAAGGTGCCCCACGCCGTTCAAGTGCTCATCTCCCGCGCGCCACAACACGCCTGCGAACAGGTCAGGGCCATTGTCACTGGGGCACTCTAGCAGCACCAACAACACCATTGACATTGCCCAGCTGCAGGAGTGCCTCGGGACACAGTACGATTCAGTTACATCGAACTGGAGCTCAAGGGAAGAGGAGGAAGTGGAAATATCGAAGAGCTTGAGACATTTCGAAACAAGCAATGCGTGCGGAGAGAGAATTTCTGAAATTAGAGGTGCTGCGTGGGAAGAGGAAGAAAATAACGAATGCTGCCTTAGGTAATAACTGGATTATTAAGTTAAGGTGTTAAACCACATTTGTTTAAGAGTTTTAAGAGTAGTTTTGCAAGTGGTGGGTAAGGCCCCCATTTTCAATTGTCCATCTCGGGTTTAAACCCTCTCCCCGCCCTTTACTCTAACTTAAAATAGTAATATCGCTTGTAATAAAAAATGAACGTGTGGTTTGAATGTACAGATATCAGAGAGAAGAGGCCAAAATCCAAGCTTGGGTCAACCTCCAAAGTGCAAAAGCAGAAGCTCGGTCAAGAAAGCTTGAGGTACTTCTGTCATTCTGTTAGTATTTCCTTGGTGGAATCTTACTTTAGCTGGTTTTTGTTCTTTAACCATTTGTTGATTTTCCATGGCAATTCAAATGCAAGCATCAGAAACATGAGATGTGAACTTGAATACTGATGTTGCCTCCCTTTGCTGTGATTTGTATAATGATTTTCTAGTAGCATAGGGAAATAATTGAAAAATACACACAAGTTGAACTGGTTATAAATGTTGAACAAAAAAAAGAAACCCGGGTAACACAAAAACGTCACGTCAATAAGGGGGCACAAAAATCCTGATTTAAATACGACTTATTTTTTAGAGATAAATGATTTTCACACATCTATTTTCTGCTTCTACACTTCTGCACTTTTGCTACTTGGTCATCAGACATATTACTGCACTCTGGACCACCTCCATTGAAGTGCAATGGTACGAAGTGCTTTAATTATTATATTGGTTGGTTGGCATCCTAGTTCTTGAGCCACCCGTCGCTCTTGGACATTATTCTTCTTTTGTATTTTACACTGCAGTCTGGACCATCTCCATTGAAGTGTGTTTTGCTTCATATAATATGTAGTTTCTACACATGCCAAACTTTTAAAGCAAAGAAGAAAGCTAGAAGTCATCACCCCCACATTTTAATACTAGCAATTGGAGAGTATTTAATTGGGTTGGAAGCTTGGTTTTTTGTCCTTTCCTAAATTCCTTATAGATTAGTGAAGAGAGCCCTATTCAGTATTATTGTCACACCGTTACGAGTATTATTGTTAATATCATACTCTATATGTTCATGACCTATGAATCATGTCCACGCGGTAGTGAGGTAGTTGGTGGTGTACAAGGTTGGCTCAATACAAGCGAAGATGGATGTGAAGAGAATCCCACATCGGAGAAGTACAACAATATTCTAAGGTTTAAATATAGATGTTCCACTTCTAATTACACCGAAACCTTTTGAGATAAAACCTCACACCTAAAGTTTATTGGGCTTGATACCACCCAAGGGATTCGGCCTAGATGGTTAAGGGGGTAACAGTGTTACTAGTGGACACTTATGGAGCCCGTGACACAATAATCACCCTAAACTTTCTCTTTCTACTTTAATTGCCTGCATGACCGGAGCTCACCCACTTTACACAATGTAGTTATGCCGCAAATTTCTCTTTTTCGCTTGAACTTCATTTGTAGTTAACTGGCTGATGCTTCTTTTGTTTTGGGTTATAGGTGAAGATACAGAAGATGAGATCGAACCTGGAGGAGAAGCTGATGAAGAGGATGGCAGTAGTTCACAGAAAAGCTGAGGAGTGGAGTGCAACAGCGAGGCAGCAGCACTCTGAACAAATCCACAAGGCCACCAACAATGCAGCACACAAGATGATCACAAATAGGCACAGTCCTCATTTTTCTGGCCACATTTCTTGCGGCTGCTTCCCTTGCAATAACCACTAAGTAACAACCTCAGATCATGAAAGGAAAAAAATGCAAAAAAATAAATTTATATTTCTTAATTTGTAGAGTGAGGCTGCACCGTAAGTCCAAAAAAGAGAGCAGCAATGGGTGCAACACTCGGTCATTGTTTTTTTTTTTTTCCCGTTACAAGGGGAAATCGAATCGAAATTAGAATCTACAATTAACCTATGAACAAGGGAAGCGATTTTCGTATTCTAACCTTCCTCTGTGTGAGGATTGAATTATGAAAGGAGGATTGATAGACGAGAAGTGCAGACAGAAAAATCGGGAGTGTGACAATCACTATTAGGGGTGATTTTCGGCACAATCGGATCAAAAACAAGTTTTCCAATTTAATTCTGAATTTTTAAAAATATTTAGATTAGAAATTTATTGGCGGAATTGAAAATGCAAACTTGCACCCCTAATCGCTAACCCATGAACAATGTCTCAACTCTTAATCAAAGTATTACGGGATAACCTGCAAAAGATATTTTATCAGTCCAATAATTGGTTAAGAGCATTTATCTTTACACATGAAGTGGGTGTAGTCAAATTAAGATTTTAAAGGATTTTAAAAGTAATAGATTTTATAGGATTTAAAAGGATTAAAGACTCATACAAAATTCATATGGATTTTAAAGAATTTGAATGGATTGTGGTGGAAGGATTTGAAATCCTAGGGGTTGAGGTTGGATTCTTTGTATTCTTGGTTATATATACTTTTTGCTCTCAAAATCCACAATTTATTGAAATCCTATAAAATCTTAATTTTTTTAATACACTTAGATTTGGATGGATTTTAAAATCTTTTAAAATCTTTTAATTGACTACACCTAGATTTGAAAATCCTTTAAAATCTTTTAATTGACTACACCTATATTTAAATGAATTCCAAAATCCTTTAAAATATTTTAATTGACTACACTAGGATTTTAAAGTCTCAAATCCGAGTTTGACTACACTCATTTTTTATTCCCAATATCACTTGTATAAAGAATTTGTTCGAAAAACTATAGGCTAGTGACATACAAGATCTTGGACCATTTGATAACTATTTCGTTTAGTTTTATCAAAACCATAACAAATTAAGGCCGAACTAAAACACATATTCTTTTTCCCATTAACGTCTTGACATTTAGAAAGAACTTATAACTCAAGTGATTGAAAGTCATATATTCACTTTTATATTGGAGCTCCCACATATTTACTTTTGGGTTTGAGGTCCCGAGTACGATTTTCACCCTTTTTTTAATAAAATAAAATAAAAAAGAGGGGACAACTATTGGCAAGCCACAATTATCCATCCATTTCAGGGGCCGGGAAGACTCACAGAGGCATTTCAGCCTTTTTTTTTTTTAAAGGGGGGGGGCAACTGGTGGCAAGCTATAGATATCCACCCCTTTCGAGGGCCAAAAAGACTCACAAAGGCATTTCAACCTCTTACTGGCCACAAGTCTAGCTTCCACACACCGGCAACAGGTTTTGAACCCAAGACCTCCAATTTTTAATTTGAATGAAGCCTCATAATTTGTCATTTACCACTAGATCAATAGTTTGTAGTTCAATTTTCACCCTATTTAAATATGCTTTAAAATAAAGATCACATGAGAGCAGAAGGTTAGACTGGACTCGGAAAACATCTGAAGCCTGCAAAGGCAAAGTGTGGAAAACAGTTTTGTTCTTTGTTATTTGGCTTATTGGCTTCTTACCCCAGAATCTAAGAACACCACAATATTATCGTCCTGCCATTGTTGGAACTTGGAACCTTTGGGACCTACCTGTAACCTGTCTGCATGCAGCCATGCACGAGAAGAAAGCAAAAGGATATATACTTTTACTATTAGCAAATGGCGCAGAGAGATTTTGGCACAGTAATAATTTGTTTTTTACGTGCTCAAAGAGACCAAAGATTTGATCTCATTTGATGATAAAAGCTGATAAAAGCTGCACCACTTTGTCTCAAATAACCCAACTATTTCAAATGTTATTGCTTTTCCGGTCACTCTTGCAGTTGCAGCAAAAGGTTATTATGATGGCTCTTAAAGTTTTTGAGTCAAATTTGTTAGCAACTTCCGTGTGAAATGAGTTTATCATTAATATTTTATTCAAGTTTAAAAATTCAATGTTTTGCGAAATTTTTTTACACATGACATCATATCATTGTGGCGATCACTCATTCTCTAAAGTTGTAATGGTGGTATTTGTTGAACCACTTGGTCTTCATTATGGAGTCTGACTCAAACATTAACACCAATATACAATACACAACAGAAGGAAGAAGAACCTCTCTCAAAAGTTATATCCATACATATATATACACACACACACACACAATGGTGACGAGGTGTATTCTTTTAGAGCAATTCCACTCATTGCCAAAGGGCAATCATTGCCAAAGGGCAAGGGCAATGGCTTCTCAATTGCACTTTAGACCATCTCCAATCAAAGGAGGGCCAAATGACCATGTTTAGCCCTATAACCCCGCAAGAAATTATACTTTAACAATGTCAAGCCATATTTTATACCATCTCCAACCGATGGTGCCAAATGGTCATAGGCCAAACATAGCCCTTTGACAAAAAGTCCATCTCCAACCGAAATGACCAAAGGGCAATAAGCCAAACATAATTAATATATATATTATTATTTTAATTGAATTAATATGGTTAATTAATTAAGCTACCATATTAAAGTAAGGTTTGCGGACATATTTTAAGTGTCACTTGTCGCTAAATGAATAAGCTTCCATATTTCTTATCTTTTTATAATCTCAATTATTTTTCTGATAGGATTTCAAGTGACACGTGTCGCTAATGTAAGTAATTCTCCAAATTTCTTATCTTTATGTATAATAATAGGATTTCAAGTGAAATGTGTTGCTAAAGTGAGTAACTTTCCAGATTTCTTATCTTTATGTAATCTTAATAATTTTTCAGATAGGATTTCGAGTGTCACGTGTCAAGATGTAATTGGTTGTGCAAATTTTAGATAGGATTTTTATCTACGTGGCATTTTTTATCTTCAGCTTCCAATGTTAATAAATTGGCTGGATATTGAGGTAGAATTCACACACCTTCATCTTTGCCCTCTCCAATATTTCTTTCAATTCAAGTTTGCAATAAATTCCAACTTTGGATCATCTTTGCATTCCAACTGGGGATCAAAAGAAGTACAACTGGTGGGCCAAGCCAAGCCCGCCAACTACCCTTACAATTCAAGCCCGGCCTTCAAGCCAGCAAGCATGTTTGACGTCAGCCACGTTCTACTATTTTTTTTGTCTGGCGCGTGTAATACACGCGTGTCCAAGCGAGTGGGCCAACAACTTCTATTGTCGTGGGACCTGCTGCAGCAGCTCTATCTAAAGAGCACAACGGCTCTATGACGTTGGCGATGATGGACGTTAGATTTCCAATTATCTGAACCCTTGGATTTCCAACAATAAAATAGAATTTGAAAAAAAATTACGGTTGCACCACATGACATGTTCTTGTGCATTAGATTCAATAATAAGATAAATCAAGTGAAGATTAATCCAATCCTTAAAAATGGAAAGAAAAAAAAAGAACAAAAATGAATTTATATATATATATATATATATATATAAATACCCAACCATCTTCTTCATTTACCTTTATTTTTAATTAATTATGCTTGTTGTAATGGTAAACTTTCCTTTGTATTTGAAATTAAATATTGGAGTTAAACATTGGTTTGTTTTTTGAATAGTTAAACATTTAGTTTTATTTATTTTTAAACAAACTTACAAAGGTCACATTTTCAAGACAATACATTATTAAATAAGAAACATCATGAAGATGTGATGTTTTAACTACCATGACTATCAACTTTTAAGGACCAATAACTTAAATTCTGAGTTCTGACTACTTAAAAGATGTGATGTTTTAACTACCCCCTTTGATTGCTACCTCAGTCTGTAATTGTTTAATCCTGAAGATGAAAAAGACCGGTGATGTCACATGATTAGTGAAATAGATAGAATGATGTTAATTAATTAACAAAAAAAGTAACGAAAAATCTAAAAAAACTTTTTTTTTAATGAAAAATCTTTTTTAAAGGTATAATGAATAATACCAGAAAAATGTATAAATATGATTTTTCGTTAAAAATGAATATTACCAGGAGTGTTTTGTTAAAACTCCCTTAATTAACATGATATATTATCCTTGGACAAGTTATCTGCAAAAACCATCCGTTGCAAATATTCATTAGATCTCTATATGCAAGCTTTAAATAATATTTATTTCAGACCACTCGGTGATCCGTACTAGGTACTAGAAATATTGCTATTCAAGGTGCCATTATTGAAAAAGCTAAATATTATTGATGGCCTAAAAACAAGACATCAAAATAATGCACAACTTGATATGCCATTCAAACCAGAAAAAGCCTAGTAAGAATTAACATATTATTCTTATAACATCCAGTACGACTGTACCTGAACCTGTTTATCCACCACATGAACAAAAGATTATAAAGTCTTGACACAAATGTTCATCTCTGTTGAACGAAAAAGCCTTTGGCGCTTATCCTGAAAGATCAAACCACACGGGTTTTCTAGTCGCGGAACTCGTCCATGAACGACTTGTGGAAGTCTGTCAGACGGGTGACAATGGCTGGAATTTTATCCTCTTGCGGCAATATAGTGCATCTGAAATGCCAGGTGCCCGGAACCTGTCACAGTGCAAAGGAAACAATCTTCAGTTAAAACTACTCAACATGACAATTGCATGGTAATCTTAATCAACAAAATGAAGGGTTTGTCAACTTCTATAGTTTTGTTTAATTAAACGCGATCCTATTCCCTAGAACACTTTGTATCCCTTAGAATACTCAAATTCAAACATTTCACTGTTCTGCCATGAGGTTCACATATTATTGTTTCTTAGAAATATAGAAGGCCAGGATAATATCGTATTACCACTCGATAGGCTGCATAATATTTTCAATTTAGGTGAGCAGCCATTCAGAGGTCGCACTTGGTGCGATGGCAAGTGCCTTCGCCCATGAGCGGTAGGTCTCGGGTTCGAGACTTGGGAGCAGCCTCTCCATAAATGGGGGTAAGGCTAGCCGACATTCACCTCTCCCAGACCCTGCGTAAAGCGGGAGCCTTGTGCACTGGGTACGACCTTTAGGTGAGCAGCCATTCCTACCACGCTAAGTTACAGTACAACAATAAATAAAACTAACCTGCCCAAAACCAGAACCAGGAACGACAACAACTCCTGTGGCATTGAGAAGGCGGCGACAGTAGAATGCATCTGGGGCTGTCTTTGCAGCCTCCGCTGCTTTAATTGCCTTTTGAGGCAGGTTTATGCAGGGAAAGAGATACATTGCTCCTTCTGCTCTGTTGCATGTCACACCCTCTAAGCTGTTCAATGCTTCTTCTAATGCCTGTGCTTCAAAAGAAAATCAGTCGCGCTATGCAAAAAATTCACTGAACTTCAGAAACTAAAGTCATCCTATTGTCTTTACTGTCTCGCGATGACAGAATTCACTAACCTTTGCACGCCTTGCTAGGGATGACAGAATTCCATCCTTCTCTGCCAAATACATTTCATAGGATTCATCTCCAACCTGAATTCAACCAACAAATTTCATCATTAGAAAACAAACTTATTTGATTTACCAAGTTTAAGATCAACTGAATTTCCAGATCCCCATGCCATGTGTAACAAATTTAAATACAATGACGAGCAAAATTGCACTCCTCCAAAGCCCCAGTGCCACACTTAACAGAAGAAAATGGTTCAAAAATTTCTGATTTGAAATGTTTGGAAATTTGTTAAATAATAAGCTTCAAAACGCCTCAGAACTGTCTCAAGTGTCTGCCAAATGGTTTTAAACTAGTATATGCCTTCTCCCATTTCAGATATTCCAATATTTGAACCTAACTAGATGTTCAATCCTCAATCCTAAACCCAAAATTAATTTCTACGGGAAAAGTCAAATACAAGATTACTAAAAGATAATAAACTCACCTTTGGTGGACTCATGACAAGGCTTGCAAGAATCTGACCCGAGATATTAGAACAAAGATTTACGGATGCCATTTTGTATATTTGTTCCCTTACTTCAGGACTGATTCCAGTGACTTCCATGTAACCACCTCTTTTTCCACACTCCCCGTAGTACCCTACAGAAGAAAGAAAAAAACAATGACAAATTCTTCCGGGTTCATTAATTTCCATGAGCTACTCGCCATCATGACAAACATAACGATCCACCTAATTACCTTTAGAGACTGATTGAAATGATACCAGAGAAATATCCTGCTCGCCATATCCCATAGACCGGGATACCTTCTTGAATGAATGAAACTCCTTATCAGGTACATAAACATTTTCTTGATAAACCTGTGTAAAATTCAACAAAACATTAGACCAGGAAGTAGCTATAGAAGTTTCTAACAACAATTACAATTCTCCAACCATGTCACAAAGTAATTGACGTAAATCTTCCAAAAAAAAAAAGTCCATCTACCTCATCTGCCAGCAAAACAAGACCTTCTTGCTTGCAGAAGTCCACAATCTGCCGCTGGTTGTCCTCGGCAAGAACCTGCAGACAAGATACCATAAAACTCAACCAATGACATTCTAGAATTAAGCGCAAGATTCTCTTCCAATAACACTCTCTTGAGAAAACTCCACTATTGACAAGGAATTTTCTGATTAAAAGACATTGATATCTCACCTGTCCTGTTGGGTTGCCTGGATTTATCACAACCAAGGCCCTTACATTGATACCCTTGGACTTCGCATCCTCCAATTGCTTCTTCAACTCAGAAGTTTCCAATCCCCACCCTGATGCCTCATCAAGAAAATAAGGAACCTGCGTACACCAAGCCACAGATTTGAATTCTTACAACAATAAATGACATATATATATATATATATATATATATATATTCCAACTTCTAGTTTCTAGCAGTCATTTAACGTCAATTTCCCATTAATCAGGCAATTCACTAATCAGTTTAATCTTGAGTTTTAGCTAATAACTAGTAGTGCTTCAATAGTCAAGTATAAATACTAATGACATTTATCAATTGGATAAACCTCTTAAAATCCAGACATACCAGTGTGCCACCGTGGAGGGCTATTGACGCAGAGTACAAAGGGTATTGAGGAATGGGACAAAGAATCCCATCCTTCTCTGAACTTATCAGTAATTGCATCATCATATGGACCTGGAAAGAGAGAAATGGAGATGATATGTAATGAAGTGGAACTTAATATATTGAGGAACACTGTGACGCTACTAAAATTGAACAGAAGGGAACTCAGGAGATACCGCAGGGCTTGCACCATCAGTTAAGAAAATATCATTCGGATTAGCAGGATATCCATCACGAGCTTCAATTCCAGCAGCAATTGTATCACGTAAACCCTTGATACCCTGATGCCAAAGTGGGTGAAATATATGACATATTGCTCACGAGTTTCGTCCTAGTTTTACAAATTTATGTGATGTAAAACCTACGATCATTACCTGACTGTGACTGTAAGCACCAGTTGCTCTTCCAGGAATTTGATCCAGAATCTCCCATGCCCGCTCTATTGCATCGGCACTGCAACGGGTAAGAATGATATCAACAGAAAGATAAGATTTTTAACTTCTGGGAAGACTTCTCTATGAATTCCTACAATTGAATTGAATAGGATTGTAGGGCAGCCTAAAATATATATTCTTATATGTTACATTTTTCCAATACCTGAACAAACCCTGTGTTTCGCTTTTGTCCAAGATAGCTGGATGGTCGCATAATGCAAGAATCTGAAAGAAAGATTGTAACGATCAAGGATTACATGAGATGTTTCAGCATTAATGTTATCAACCATGTAGTCCACTAAACCAACCTCTCGGAAAAATGTTATCGGTTGTTGACCAAGAGACTGAGGATTTCCGATATTGCAGTAGAGAATCTGTATAACATATGTTCACAGTAAGTACCCAAAGTGAGAGAAATGTCTTAAAAGATATAGATTCAATACTGTAACTCATCAAAGGAGAAAGTAAACACACCTCATCAAAGGGATGAGAGCCCGGATTCGCCTTTAACTCTTCTTGTAACCTCTGTGACAGGACGACATTACAGTCGAGATTAAGATAAAGGGACAGAATTACTTCACTTGATTAATTTCTATACAGTCGATGTATGTACCTGTGCAAGGGTGACGATTTCACCTCGGACAGCATATTCACATTTCAAAACCTGTAAAAATTAGATGTGAGTGACAAATGGAATAGAAAATGTTCACCAGTACTAAGAAATCAAGAAACAAATTTAAGTATTTGAATGTGAGAAACAAAAACCTAGATTAAATAACCAATCAATTCAATTACTACCCTCTTGAAATTAAAAACAAATCAAATAAACTCATCAGAGTGATCCAAATATGAGTTATGAGTTAAATTAATTTGTCAAAAGTTAAAATATAAAATAACTAACTGAGATCCAGAACAAGAGAGCCAGTGTGGGTTGAAATAAAATAGAAAAAAAAAATTAACCACAGCAATGCACCATACATCCATGATCCATCATCAATCATTTATTTGTTAATAATTATTATTATAAATTTTAAGAAAACACATGAAAATTAAAGACCAAAAGAACTATCTGGATTAAAATAACAAACAAATCAAAGCAAACCCAGATGAAGAAACAATAAATCAAAAACCTTTGAGCATCCACACAGATAAAATCAATCAAACAGTAAACAAACACCAAAATACATATGAAAATACACAGCAATCTGCACAAAAACAGCCAAAATAAGCAAAACAAAAACAAAAACCCAACTGAGAAAAGATCAAAAACCCAGTTGGGAAAAAAATCACAAACCTTGGGATTGATGTTCTGGAGAGTGACGGGAGGAGAGGGACGTGAAGCAGAGTGATCAGCCATGGGAGGAGAGGAAGGAGGGAAATCTACAGCTGGAGCGGCGGACAGGAAACGCGAGTGAGAAGAAGCAAACAGAGAGGAGGAGGAGGTTGAACGAATCTGCTTTTGCTGAAAGGAACGGATGAGAAGAGCTCTGACTCTGCCGCTTCCGAATTTCCGCATCTTCAACAGTCTCTCTTTTTATAGAGGGAAGAAAAAAGCTGGGAGATTACGCGTTATGTGATGCAAAGCGGTAAATTTTCACGTTTTCTGGGCACGTCCTTCGAAGGAAGCCACGCTCACTGTTTCGATGCCGTTCGCCCACAGGATATGATATGACCTTCTGTTTTTTATTTGGATTTTCACATCATTGCCAAGTCATGCTTTTCTATTGCCTTCTTTTTTTAGTAAGATTATCTCCTCCTACATTTACTCATTCTATTTAAACGGCCACAACCTTATTAAGTTATGTTAAAATTTTGTGTTAAAAATTATGTCCCTAACTCTCTATATTTTTTTATTTTATTTAAACGATTACAATTAAGTTACGGTTAAAATCTTTTTTGATACACACACAGAGAGAAGAGCGAGAGAAAAAATAGGAGGGAATTTAGAAAAAAGAGAAGCACCCCCTTCTTTTTACCATATGCAGCGATTGGAAGTTCGATGGACATCCACGTCATGCATTACTCATGTACATCTGTATTCCTTTCGTGTCAAACACTAGATCCATTCAACGGGGAAAATTAAATAAAATCAATAAAGAAATAAAATCAAAGTATTCATCGGAAAAACTAAACAAAAATCATTAAAATAATACTAGCATTTTTTATTATTTTATTGCAGCGATATTGTAGATTAGTTTGTATTCAAGGAATATAAAAGGTTCGAATCAGCAACGCATTTGATTGAATAGGAATATCTTAACCATTAGGATAATCTATCATTTGTTTTTTTTTTTATAATTAGCTGTGAAGATCAAATCGCATCAAGCTGCATATGCATGATTGTTTATAATCATTGTGGTAAAATGATTATAAGCAAGGTTCTAAAAGGTACTAGTCGGGCGACAGGCTGGAGTTTAACGCCTAGGTTGCAAGGCGGGTGCCTAGGCGAACTAGGCGGTTTTAAGTAAATCTATTATATTTTATGTAAATAAGTGCTTTTGTACATAAAATATATGTAAATACATCATAAACTACAAAATAGAATGACATAAATATTATGAAGTATTGGAATATAATGAAAACATGAAGAACAAGCATATAATGTGTGTTCATTTAAGTATTCAACAAGTATTTTACAATTTACTGAAAAAAAATAAAATGTAAAATGAAAGTTATTTATTTTCTATCTAAGTGAGTCGCAACCTAGGTAGGTCTGGGCGGGTTGGGCGGGTTAGGCGGGTGTCTATGCTGTCTAGGCTGGCACCTCAGCATGTTTAGGTGTCATTTCTTAATTTTCAAACGCCTAAACATTAATCGAGGCAGTGGCCAACCACCTAACACCTAGGCGGGAATTTTGAGAACAGTGGTTATAAGTGTTTGAATTGTGTTACTTATGTACACATCAAATCTTGAATTTGTGTGAATTTTACGTTGTGTACTATATTGTATTTGTCCAATATTTGCGTCATTATGGTATATCTCCATCTATTTTCATTTTGTGAATATTTCATTAAGAGTCTTTGTGTGGCCATAGGACAGGACAACTTTTGCACCAAGCAATTCTATATCCAAAACTTATTCACCAAGAAAAAAGAAGTACCATCATCCATGTTCTATCTCCACCAACCCATCCTCTTCTCTCACTTCCCCAATCTTTTTCATTCTCTAACTCCTTACTTGGAGAAACTCATTGGTGAGGATGATGGATGATCAGAGACACGCAATACGCCCCCCACCTATGGTATTTTGGTAGCATCCCATACGCGTTGGTGCTCCGCATATGAATTCTAGACGGGAGAATTTCTCCCTTGTGTGACAATACTTAACCCTTTGTATCTTAGTCTCACACTCGTGTTTGGTGCCTTATACAGACGTTTGGACTCAAAATTGAGAGTTTTTCTTATTGAAAACAATTGATTTTCAGGAAATTGGAGAGAGAGTTCTTCAACACTAATTTGAACAAAATCTTGATCAGAAATATTTCATGTATTTTCAAGTGTAACAATCAAAAGAGAATGTAACTACATGACTTTCCAGGGGAGAGTGGTAAAGTAGGGCAAGAAAGGAAGAGGAGATACACAAAGTGTAACAGATATGTATGGCTACCAACTCTGTAACGATAGAACGATAAAATACAGAAAATATATCAAACCATATTCTTTCTAGAGATTAATTTCTGAACGTTTGAATTTTTAGCAACTCTTGATTTCTTGGATCACAAGGTAGTCTCAAATGCCACATCAGTTGCCGGCAACCACTCACCGCCTTGGATCAATGATGTTACCGTGAACTTGGCCGCCTCGTCATCTGTAAGAGTAGGGTTGTAACCGGCCCACTTAACCCTTTGATCCACACCTGATCCAGGCCCACTGTTTTGGTACTCTGCATAGAATATGGTGTTGGGTGGGTCAACGTTGGTAACCCATTCCTTCCAGCCCAATGGGTTCAAGAATGATCTAATGTCAGACTGCATGATGACCGTGGTGGAGTAATCCTTCCAAGGCCTCCCCAGATATGTTTGAGCAGTGAGATTACTGTCTAACGCAGACAATCTGCACTTTTGGATTGAAATGCCAGTGTTCTGATTCGGGTCCTTTTTGCCTTGAGCTGTGATCGTGTTGAACTGGTTCGCCATAGGTTGCCTGGGCTGGATGTTGCAGTTCTGGAAAACTACAGCTGCATTGCCAAAAATGAAGTCTATGGTGCCGGTAATGTCACATTCCCGATAGAATTGTCGGTTGGAATGCGCATAGAGGGTGTCCTGGAAGCCATCAAACAAGCATCTGTAGTACACAGAGAGGTCCGAACCAGAGCGGAATGCCACTGCCTGGTGCTTTATTGCTCCTGCAGTGTTGAAGAATCCCATATCTTTCACGATGAAGCCTTTTCCTGTGACGGCTGGCAATCCAATATGTAATCACAGTAAGAATCCAAACACATTGAGTTTATATGCAAGTCAGAAAGCTAAAACACGTAACAGTTTGAATCAAAACATGAATTCTCAATCACGTCTCTCAGTCTGAAGACATAAAAACCCAACACATTTTATGAGAGATTGTGAATGCAAGAACACAAGGAATCATCCTAATTGCTTGACAATTTTTAGGGACACTTCCTATAATCTTAAAATGCATACTTGCATAGAAACCAATAGGAGGGGTTGGGTTTTCTTATGACTGGTGCAGGCCAATACAAACAATTGTTTAATGTTTTAGGGTTTAGGGTCCTTCTGCTATACAACAATATATGCATTGCCTTTAAGTGGCTCGGATCCATCCGCTAAACATCCTTGAATTCTTCAGCGCATACTCGCATATTCAGCGGTTAAATTTACCAAAATTTCTAATTCTCAGAACAGGAGCTTGCATTATCCATGATGTTCATCAACACAACATAATTTCAGGCAATCAATGAGAAAAAGTCAGCTGATCCACCACATGATGTCATTCAGGATAGACAGACAACACTTGCATTTCAGGGCAAGCAGGCATGTGCTAAGTTGCTAACTTGCATAGCAAATTAAATATGCAACAAATGGGCCCACCACATGAACAACAAGCAATATATTTGAGCATAAACCAGACATGCACATGGTGGGGGGCATCTGCTGTCCTCACACATCACCCAAATGGATATCGAATCCAACTTAACAGTATTAAAACTAAGCTTTGATCTTTTGATTCTTTTCATAAAAAAAGAACAAAACAATATCAACAGTTGAAAGAGAAGCACTAGCACATCGTAGATAACACGAAGATGCATAAACCATGTCCTAATTTAGCCTTATCAATGTCATCAATTTTGAAAGGCGACTTGGTCTCAATGTCTATGGTCTCCTTCCTAGCTCCAACCACAACGTTTCACATTCCTCACATGAGTGATAAGGACTTCTATACTACGGATTCACTGTCATTGTGCTCTTCTGGAACAAGACCACGTGTAGTGATCCAGGAGACCACAATGGCGGTGAATCCCTTCGATAGAAGGGTGACTCCCATATGAAATTTCCTTCAATTGGAATAGCCATGTTAGAATGCCTTGAGGCTTGGAGGCTATTAGGCTAGTTTTCTAAACGCAGCCGGCACACCCTTATCAATTGGACTAACCCACATTTGCACCAAGTGTTTCGAACATAATATTAATATAACACAACAAATACATGATCTATCTCACTAGGTGTTTCTCCTAAATCCGAACATTGATTGTTTAATCTCAAAACAAGAATTAAATTAATCAAACCAAAACAATGACAGAATAAATTAGGAAACTAATTAACACAGGATTAACTAAATTGAATGCGGTGGCGATTAAGAATTAGTACCAAAAGTGGCGGTGGAGAAGGTGGGGGTGCCGTCCACAAAGCTCAAGTTGCCGGAAACCACCGTCTTCGTCTTCCCATCTCCGAACATCATCACATTCCACTTGCTCTTATCCATCAACACATTCTCATAATAAACCCCTTGCTTCACATGAATCAGAATCCTGTTCTTGCTCTTCTTTGGCACCGTATCCACCGCCTCCTGAATCGTCTTAAAATCTCCCGTCCCATCCTTCGCCACCACTATCTGCGCCGTCGCATTGTTGTCCTGCAGCAGCCTCCTATCCCCCGGACTAATCCAACCCGGAAAATCCACCTCTGATCCTCCGACCCCGAGCAGCCTCCGGTGAACCGGAACGTTCAAATTCGTAAGAAGGCTCAGGATTTTCGCCACAATCGCCAAACTATTGCTCGAAAATTCAGTTGTATTCTGCATCGCCGCCTTGAATTCTTGAACGAGGGTCGAGTTGAGATCCGCCAGAGAGTCCAAACAAGTCTCCTGATCCGTCAATGTGGTGCTCAACCACGTCTTGATGTCGTTGATTTTGGCGGCGGAGAGAAGCTTGTCGCCCTGATTCACATCCATGGAGGTCAGCGAGTCGTTGAGCCTGTCAACCACGTCTTCAAACAGGCCCTCGCAGACGTCTAGAACTTTCTCCAGGTGGGTGTCATTGGCGATGTTCAGACCGATTTTCGCCGGCAGCCCGGGAAGCTTCGCGGCGGCGTGAATGGCGACCTGCAGAGAGAGCTTGAAAATCACTTCCGGGTCGGTGCTGTTCGATGTCTCGAGCGCGGAGATGCTCGAGAAACACGAACTCGGGTATTGGGTCACGCCGCAAACCGCCTTCAGCGACGCCGCCGGAGTCAATTCGGGGCCGGGGGTCGAGTTGGGTACAGAAGACGACGAGTTGTTCCTCTTGTGTATGATCACCCCCGCGACAACGCCGATGATCACCGCCAACAGAACCACCGTGGAGACTGAGAGGATGATGAGACGCTTCCGGGTCTTGCGTTTGAAGGCCTGCTCTTCGAGCTCGTCGACTTTGCCGTAGCCCTTGAAGGACTTGACGGAGTCCATTTCTGATACTCCTTTTTTCTTCTTCTCTGCTTTTCTACTTTTGGTTTGCTGGGTTTCGTTTGTGTGTGTGTGTGTGTGATTGAAAGCGCTGTGAGGTTTGGAGCTACTTTTGGACAAGTGTGGGATTTCCTTTTTCTACGAGGCTTCTTCTTGCTTAACAAGTTTAATTACTTTTTTTAGTACTTATGATCCATTTATTCTGGTCCTTCTTTTTCTTAAAATTTACTTCGTTTCGGGTACAAACCTTCTCTCCCACCTCCTCTAAGGTTTGGTCTCCAAGTAAGTTCTCCTTCGGTTTGATTCGAGAACCCTCCTTACCCTCCTTACGTCATTCAGGACATCTTTCTTCAAGACTTGTGATGTATTTGAGTTTGTTTAATGAAAATTATATTGTTTTTTCTTTAAGAAAGTCCATTTCCTTACAAATAAACAATGATTTGGTTTAATTAGTACGGAACAACATACTATACCATGCTTACCAGCCATACTTAATTGTTAGCACAAAAGCAAGGAGTTGCACTCATAGTCATAATTGTTTGTTTATTTGGAGTTAAACTGAATTCGTATTGGTCCTATTGGACAGTTTGCTTCCTACGTATAAATAAGTAATAAGTTGGTGCCTACCGCGTAGGGTGACATTGATATGGAGATTAAATTTTTAAATCGAATTTTGTAAACCAAATAATACGGTTGTTGATGATTGGATTATCAGTTAAGTGTTGATTAACGTGCGTCTATTTTATTTGTGACACATCATTTGGTTACCGATTGAGTTTTCACTTCTAAGTTTTAATAACGTTAGTGCCATGCTAACAGAGTTGCTCATCATGTATGCAATTTATAAAGTTGAGCTTAACGAATTTGAATTTGTCTAATTACAACTCGTTTATATAATTAGTCACCCGAACTCAACTTCTTGAGTTAACGGGTTAGGCGTTACACCCATTAACATTCGTCATGGGTTTTTTTCGCAGTACATTACAATTAAGCTATTGGGAGACTGAATGCTTGTGTAAATCAAAACCAAGAGAAAATTGGTCATGGAATTTTACTTCCAAGGAGTTCCATAGTTTTGTGTTTGTATTTTTTGGGTTGTATTATCTAATAAAAGTGAGATCTCTCTCTCAAATCTCAATACAAAATTATTAATATCCTCCACACATAACTTAGTTATTTATCCCCAACTTAACTTATTTGAGGTAGTCCTCCATAATCCATATGTCAACTTCCCCATACGAAACAACAACCAATCAATCAATTTTAAGTTTGCTTGATTGTTTCCGACAGTCCAAAGCTACAAGCAAAACGAGTGGACCCTAATTTGAAAAGATGTGTTATTCACACACTCTATTTTACTTCTCACACACCCTTTGTTAATTTATGTTCGTTGATTTTCTTCAATTCATTTGATCAAACGGCCGAAAATTAGAGGGATGTGTAAGAAGTAAAAAATGGTGTGTGGATATCACATCTCAATTTGAAATCATTCTTCCTTCATTCCTATGTACCACAACATGCATATACAATATTGTTGTGAGAAACATTTCTATACAACGACATTGTAAGAGATAAAGTGTCAATAATATAATTTAGTAATAAACTCGTTATTTATGATGAAATTTAAATCACTTCAAAATCGGAAAAAAATATCATTGAATCGTAATACTAGTTGCAAATTGTTATTTTTTTTCAAGTAGAGAAAGATTAGGTGAGATTAGCTTTTCGGTAATGGTCGCATGCCAGACACCTATTTGTTTGATAATAAATGAAAGTAAAAGAAAAAGATCAAGACCCACAAAAACAAAAATGATCAACGAAAACGGTGATATAGACAAAACGAAATGCCACAAGCATGAGCAGAGGCTGCAAAATTTGGTATCATGGACCACCAGTAATAAGCATAGCTATCTACCCCAAAAGAAGCTAAAGCATCTGCAACCTGATTTCCTTCTCCATAAATATGTGTACACATAAATTACACTTGGCTAAGTCGCCAAAGACAATTCTTCCAAATTTTTATATAGGGTCATTTTGGTTCTAGTCCCTTATTAACCTAATTGTTAGATTCAAACCTTGTTTGTTTAAATATTTTGATCGAGGTCCTTAGCATCATTTAAGATATTTAACTCATGTATTTATGCATTTAATGTCCCTCAAATTATGAAGTTTAACCAATTCAAATAATATTTTTAAAATATAGTAAATACTTAAAAATCAATAATAGAGTAATATTGTTCTTCACAAAATTATAGCAAAAAAAATAATGTACCCACATAATTATTAACATATTTTAAAAAATAACTACTGATATATTTTAAAACATAACATAATACATATAATTAGCATGGGTACATTTAGCAAAATAAAAAATCGGTACAAATAAATTTTAAAAATATGGATACAAATACAAATAAAAGTTTAAAATATATGGGCACAAAAAGAAATTAATATATGAGTACAAATTAAAGCTGAAAATAAAATTGGTACAAATTAAAAAAATGGGTTGCAAATTAAAAATGGGTACAAACTAAAAATAAAAATATATGATATAAAAATTTAGTCATATTTAGTTATAAATATATTAAATGTAACGTTTCTAACACTAAATAAATGTATTTAGAAATTAAAATATTTTATTATTGAAATAATTAATAGCGTTTATTAAAACCCAAGGACCTTAATAAAAAATTAAAAATGAATAAGGTTTTAATCAATGAAGTAACAAAAAAAGGTCTATGAACCTAATTTTTCCTTTTATATAAAACTAGTTAAATAGAGGGTTTCCATAATGATGTATACTGCATAGTATAGACCATTCCAGCCACTGTACCAACAAAAGCAGTTATTTTCTATGGACTCATTGGATTATACATTCTTCAATTTCATAATTGGTATTGGGAAGCCGGTGCACTTCCCATCGTTTATTCTATTCAACAATGATCATTTCCATCAATCTTTCCTTGGACTTTTGATTCATCAACCAAGCACGGTAGATTCAACTTTGAGTTCTCTTACAAGGACAAGTATCCTTTCCGAATTCTCTTTGTAGAGATTTGGAGATCAATTAATTGTATCTGTTCATCGTACATCGTGCGACCAGTTTTCTTTAGATACTATTTATATTAATTTTAAATTAAAATTTTAAAATGATTTCTAACTGATGATATACGATGAACATACACGATTGATTGATCAACCAAATCCCCACAAAGAGAATCCAAAGAGGATCCTATTCCCTCTTAAAATACTTGTAATTCGTTGAAATAAACAAAAAATTACCACCAGTGATCATTTTCATCAAATTGTAAAAAATTTCACCCATATTGTCCACGTGTTATATGAAACGTGTCTTGCGTTCATGCAACGGATGGAGAGAACAATTGAAAGCAACAATGTGAACTTGTTTTGCCACATGGAAGTGGAACCACAAAGAGTGGTAGCATAACATGCGAGATCAACGCTCATCAAATTTGGGGGTCGTTTTCAATTGGACTGTTTCTGTGATTCATATCCAAGTTATCCTAAAGCTAAGGGTACCCCACAGCATTTTTCTTCCCTTTATATTTAGGGTGGGGATATATAGAATAGTGGCATCTTACTAATTGTACGGCAATACCGCGTGCCTATGTGAAATGCCGAATATGTGATGGAGAGCCGGCAATTTCGCCCCTAAAGCCCACATGCATTTTCAATTTTACACTATGTAATGTTATTTAGATATTCAAAACTAATAGATTTGCCGACACATGTCAACATATATTGGTAGATCTCACATCGATTAGAGAGTTCACTAGCAAATGTGTAGCATTAACTAATGTGTCTAGCTGCGAACAATTTATATAACAAGTTCATTATCACAATAACGTTCCATTCTAAACACAAGAATAATTGTAAAAAAGCTAACACATGTCATATATATATATATATATATATATTAAGTGAGAAAACAAAAAAGGCGAAGCTTTCAAAATGCATAAAATTAAAAAGGGAAAAAACTGTGAAAATTACAAAATAAAACTACCTCAGAGGAGGTAATTATTGAATTAGCTATTTTAATTTTGTTTTTTTTAAATACATGTAAATTCAGTACTTTAATCGTCTATACATACATACAAGAAAAGAGACATAAAAAAAGCCAAAAGAACAAAAACAAAACAAAACCAGGAGGAATACAAAAAGACAGCTAAATTGATAGGAATGCTATGCAATATGCAAGCACTAGGATACTGTCCAATATAACATGTTCTTCACCTTGGTCCTTTGATCTGTTTCATCATAGTTTCATCATAATTAGTAGTAATGTACTGAGAGAGATAGAGAACAATATACAACATGTGATAAATTAACTTATTTCGATAAGAAGAAATAGCTAATTATATATCGGGAGCAACCCTATTAGTCAATCCGACGTAAAAGTAGGTATGATATATATATAGCAATGAACAAAGGTAGATTATGCCCTAGAAATCACCATCTTCTTCACTATCATCTCTCTCCCTCTTCGTTCTTGTGCAAACATCGCAAAGATAATTGGCTAGAAATCACCATCTACAGGTATGAAAATTAAATTAGGTTTTCAAGCTTTTACAGATTTACTTAGCTAAGATTTGTTGGTTAAATTAGATCAACCACATGAGATGATAATAAATTGAAAGAATCATGTGTTACCTTGTTGATGAAAAAAAAGGGTGGTGTTTGGTGTGGTTTATACAAGATAGATCCAATAATTGCATTACAAACAAAGTGGACATGGCCCTCACTAAAGTCGTTGTCATGGTCTATCTTTTGCTCTGTCAATTCTTCCACTTTTCCATGGTCAGTCTTCTTTTGCTTTGCCACATTTTGAAGGTCTATCTTTCGCTTTGCCAAAAAGCTTTGAATAATAGCATTTACCATAGATGATCCCATTCAAATGGTAGAATAGCACTCTCCAATATTTATGGGTTTTGGCTCCCATGAACCGGAAAAGAGGTTGCCGTTTTTATCAAAACCATGTTCTATACCAATTGCGTATAGTGCTCAATTGTTCCTTCAGGAACAAAATACTTGACGTCTTGTTTGGGCTCCACATATACTTGTCGTATGTTTGCTCATAACTTGTACAATATCTGCCTTACTACCCAATTCTTTCTTTCAGCCGTTTCAGTGCTTACTTCAAAAT